GCTTTCGTTTATGCATTTACGTTTCAGACATCACCCTAGCTTGGTCATGGCTTGTTCCGTAGCCATGAGCGAGTAGTCTCTTTGCTGAGCTACGGATTAGTAGGTTTAGATTGATACAAGCTCAGGGCTATCTCAAGACTTGTATATCTCTGATGTCAAAACGTGGCTTCTCAACCAAGATGGAGATCAAAAGAACGAGTTACTCTGTTCTGTTGAGCTAGAAACGGGAGATGGAGACAAGGTGATGAGGGTGGATCGAAGTGTACCACACAAGCAGTGTAAAGCTCGTGATAAAACACGAATTCTCTAGGCTATGGAGGTCTAGTCTCGACACAGCAAGGAGAAAGAGAGAAAGCAAGTTTTGCACAAAAAACTTAAGAAAATTCAGATTTTATTGATATAAAAAAAGGTCAATTACAAGGCTGCAAATGAACCTTATATAATGGTTCATCAGCTTCAAAAGGAATAAAAAGATTACAAAAAATCGAAATAAAAAAAATACAAGGAAACAAACTAAATGAAAACATAAATTATGTTACTAAATGAATTATCAAAGAGAGACAAATGTGGGATTAGTCAAGATAATAATGATAAAATAATTGAAATTCCTTACCTTTCTTACCTTTGTCGTGGCTGTCTAGGTGCAGGGAAAGGAAAGCTTTGACTTGGTTTATCTTGACCAGAATCTGAGTCTTTAACTTCCTTGTTCTTCACATGAAATGATGAGCACATTTGCTTGGGCTTGGCGTGAAAGTAAGGGCCAGATATCTTGCACCTTTAAGCTTGGTTCATTTGTTGGTTCTTCGTGATCCATTGATGTTCTGGTCAATACTTGTAAGTAATGAACTGGTCCATCTTGAAGCTCTAGCTCATAATGCTCTTCTTTAGTCATCTCTTGATCAGCTTGAATGATGGCTTGTCTCATGCTTTGATTGTACTTGTGCTGAAGTGTTCTTGCTCTTTGTCTTGTCATTGCTCCTTCATAAACCAGGGGAACTTCAACATCTTGTAGATGTGGCTCGGTTAAGTCTGGTTCAGTTTCAATGGCCTCATTATT